TTTAACACGATCGTGATATCAGGAGTATTGTGCTCCAAAACTCTGTCAGTCTGAATTCGGAAGTCCCAGAGGAGTTTGACGTGTTTATTTTCTGTAACTTTTTTCAGGCTTGTGATCCCACCAGTTCTTTGTCGCAGGCAGATGGTATTTGTGACACAACTTCCGGTGAATCATCTGAGCAATGGTATTATGCCTCTGCTTGTAGTCTGTCTGAGCGATCTTCTTGCAGCAGCTGAGGATGTGATCTGTTGTTTCATCTGACTCCTTGTGGAGTCTGCACTTATTATTATTATTATTATTATTATTATTATTATTATTATTATTATGTGTAAACCGCTTTGAGTCCCCCTAGGGGTGAGAAAAGCGGTATATAAATACTGTAAATAATAAAATAAACTATTATTATGATTATTATTCACATTGAACTGCTTTATATGAGTCCACTTTGCGATATAATGCCGTCCAGTGTGGTTGAACTGCATTAAGAAATTTTATTATATGGCAGGGCAGATGGGGCCAGAGGAAAAGGATCTCCATGGGTGCATCTACAGCAGGCTTCGGCAAACTTTGGACTTCAACTCTCACAATTTGGACTTCAACTCTCACAATTCCTAACAGCCTCAAGAAAGGGTCTGGGGCTGTTAGGAATTGTGGGAACTGAAGACCAAATCACTTGGAGGGAGGGCCCAAGTTTGCCCATGCCTGGTCTATACTGTAGAATTAAAGCAGTCTAACTTCCATGGCTAGTTATAGTTTTGCAAGGTCTTTAGCCTTTTCCGTCAAAAAGGGCTGCAAAAATACAGCTCCCAGAATTACGCAGCATTGAGCAATGGCAGTTAAAGTGGTGTCCACAGTGTAAGTGCATCCTGGGGTTGCCAGGTTGTAAACAGGCCAACCTTTCACTGTCTTTCCCTCTGAGGTGTGCCTCTATTTGATAGAAAGGAGAGCTATTAGAGAGATGGGCCAAAACTAACAAAATGAAGTTCAACAGTGACAAATGCAAGATACTCCACTTAGGCAGAAAAAATGAAAGGCAAAGATACAGAATGGGGGACACGTGACTCAAGAGCAGTATGTGTAAAAAAGATCTTAAACAAGACAAACATGAGCCAACAATGTGATGCAGCCGCAAAAAAGGACAATGGGATTGGCCTGCATCAATAGGAGCATAGTGTCTAGATCTAGGGAAGTAATGCTACCCCTCTATTCTGCCTTGGTTAGACCACACCTGGAATATTGTGTCCAATTATGGGCACCACAATTGAAGAGAAATATTGACAAGGAATGTGTCCAGAGGAGGGTGACTAAAATGATCAAGGGTCTGGAGAACAAGTCCTATGAAGAGCGGCTTAAAGAGCTGGGCATGTTTAGCCTGAGAAGAGAAGGCTGAGAGGAGACATGATAGCCATGTATAAATATGTGAGAGGAAGTCATAGGGAGGAGGGAGCAAGCTTGTTTTCTGCTGCCCTGGAGACTAGGACGCAATGGAACAATGGCTTCAAACTACAAGAAAGGAGATTCCATCTGAACATGAGGAAGAACTTCCTGACTGTGAGAGCTGTTCAGCAGTGGAACTCTCTGCCCCGGAGTGTGGTGGAGGCTCCTTCTTTGGAAGCTTTTAAACAGAGGCTGGATGGCCATCTGTCAGTGGTGCTTTGAATAATTTCTGCTTCTTGGCAGGGGTTGGACTGGATGGCCCATGAGGTCTCTTCCAACTCTATGACTTTATTATTCTAATTTGAAGTCATAAAAGAAAAAAGATTCTATGTTATATGGAATCATAATCTCGAACTTACAAATATCTGACTTACAAGCGACTCATAGTTACAAACAGTGGTGAGATAACAGGAAGTAAGAGACACCTCCTCCTTGGAAGGGAAATTCACTCCTGGAGGAGTTATTATCATGGGAAAAAGGGGATCTCAACGGAAGCGTTCTCTCCAACCCTTGTTTCCACAACAAGCCAAATTTTTGAAAATCCAGTTCTCGCAGAGACAGAAAATCTGGTGAATTAGCCACTTTGATTAGCATTAAACGGCCTTGCAGTTTCAAAGCCTGGCTGGTTGCTGCCTGGGGGCCAATTGCAACATTCACACTTGCCTCAAACAAACAAGGGTTCTTTCTCCCACACTGAACATTCCACAGATATATAAACCTCAGTTGCCTAGTTTCCAACAGACCTCACAACCAATGAGGATGCCTGCCATAGATGTGGGCGAAATGTCAGGAGAGAATGCTTCTGGAACATGGCCATACACCCCGGAAAATGCACAGCAGCTCAATGATTGTGGCCATGAAAGCCTTCAAAAACACCCTGGACATTAACTGGTTGCCTAAAAGTTGCCAGAGTCTTTGTGCAGCTCTGTTGAAAAGTTTTAGACTTTGATGCCCCGGTTTGTCTAACAGAGCGTCAGGAATCCATTTCTGATTCATGATAAGCTCTCCTTTCCTAAGGTCAGAAAGATATTTCCAAACATTGAAGAACCTAAAGTTTTTTCATGAGGTCCCATCATCAACAGTACCATTTAATGCTAATCGATTCAATAAGCATCAATTCGATCACCAGAATAGTCCATACATTGATCGGCTATCACCATTAGGTAGCTAAGGTTCCCAGGTGAAATAAGGGACAAGGCTTAAATGCAAGTCCCCCTATTGATGTTGTAAACCTTTAGCCCAAATTTGTCACTTTCACACAAGTAACGGTGTTTGTGCATGCTCCCGATTCAGTCTGCATTAAATGCAACACAGACACAGGCTCATTGAGTCAGGCTTTATACTCCAAGCCCAGTGGCGAGTACATAAAATATACACAACATGGGAGGAGCTTCCTCACTCACATTTGCGGAGATATATAAATAGAGAAGCCAACGCAATGTCCGTATGATGGAAAGTCAATGTCTACAAAAACAATATACTGTAGGCTTCCACCAACAGTTGGATTGTTTCCACCTAAATTGCATAATAATAATAATAATAATAATAATAATAATAATAATAATAATAGCTGACACGATATGAGGATTTAAAGACCGAACTGCAGACTCTGGCACAAGCCAGTCAAGGTGGTCCCAGTGGTGATCGGCACACTGGGTGAAGTGCCTAAAGACCTTGGCCTGCACTTAAACACAATTGGAACTGACAAGAATACCATCTGTCAGCTGCAAAAGGCCACCTTACTGGGATCTGCACACATCATTCGCCGATACACTTGGGAAGTGTCCAACGTGGATCCAATACAACAGCCAGTAGAGTAATCTTGTCTGCTGTGGACTCATCTTGTTGCATTTCAAATAATAATAATAATCATCATAATCATCATCATCATCATCCATCAAGAATTAAGGCCACTGAGCACACAAAGCATATTCTCCCTGTTCCCAATCATAGTTGGAGTTTATTTGCAGAAACCTTATGTTAGATGAAGGGTACGCAGAGGCACAACATGGAGACATGCAGAAAAGGGGGAAAGGGTACTATGTAAAATTCATAGCACCCACAGCACCTTGCCTAAAGTTTCCTGCACAGGATTGTCAGAACCATAGACTACTAGATATATGATCACAGTAGGTTCTCATCTTCTCAGGCAACTAGCTGCCACCTTTCAAAACATTGTCTTGAATCTGTGTTTCCTCCCAGATTCAGGCACTGAACTCCAAACACAAATCCTCTTTCCCACTGCCCCTTAGACACTATTATCTGGAGTTTTTAAAACTTGGGCAGCCCTCTAAATAGACTGCTTGTCCTTAGTGATCCAATGGGTGATGGGTTCAGTACAATGTGAATGCTCAAATATCATATATGCATACATGCCATTCACAGCAGCATGGGCCAAGAACTTCGGAGTGCATTTATGAATCCAAAATTGACATCAGCAGAATCTCAGAAGAAGGCAGCTGAGAAGTCTTCTAAAAATAATTATGGCAAAAATGTCCAGAGGAGAGATGTTCTGGTGAGAAACTCTGAACCAAACTCCTGCTTTTCAGTTTTGTGATGGCCATGTGGGCCTTCTTCTACTTAGGAGACAATGCTTTGCTTCACTTTTCCAAAGATATGCAGTGGTCTCATTCTCTGTGGGGGGAGCTAAATAGAAGCTGGATGGCCACCTGCCAGGAAGGCTTAGATTGCATCTATCGCCTGGCCTTGGGGTCTCTTCCAACACTTGGATTCTCTGAGTTGCTGTGAGTTTTCCAGGCTGTATGGCCATGTTCCAGAAGCATCCTCTTCTGATGTTTCACCCACATCTATAGCAGGCTGACTCAGAGGTTGTGAGGTCTGTTGGAAACATCCATAGAGGTGGATGAAATGTCAGAAAAGAATGCTTCTGGAACATGGCATACAGCCTGGAAAACTCACAGCAACCCAGTGATTCCTGCCATGAAAGCCTTCGACAACACAATGAATAGACGCATTGAATCAACTGATTTAACTGTTAACCAATGGGTTGCTGTGAGGTTTCCCAGCTGTTTGACCATGTTCCAGAAGCATTCTATTCTGACATTTCACCCACATCTATGGCGGGCATCCTCAGAGGTTGTGAGGTATGATGAATATGTCTGCCATAGATATGGGCAAAACGTCAGGAGGGAATGCTTCTGGAACATGGCCATACAGCCCAGAAAACTCACAGCATCTAGTGATTCTGGCCATGAAAGCCTTCAACAACACTAGGATTCTTGCTTGAGCATTTGTCCTGTCTCTGGAGCAACCAAGGGGCTTTGTCTCACCATCTTGGAAACACTAATCTGACCCTTTGGCGTGCATATATCACAATTCCCATTTCCTTTCCTAACTTTAAGACTGTACTAAGAACTCCTAACATAGTAAACACCTCATGAAGAATACATCATCTTACCAATGTAAACCACACACACACACAGAGATGCTGTTTCTGCACATGCTTTAGAGAACACTCTTCCACCCCATCCCTTTCAATGCCAAATACCCCCAAACCGCCGTCTTTCTGTTCCAGACCTGGGCCCCTCACCATCCCTTCTTACCAATAGATGAGAGAGAGTCCGTCAAAGCGTTCCAGTTCCCTGCCAGTCGACTTGAGATAGGACATTCTCTTCCCGGCTCCTTTTCAAAAGAAATATTATTCCCTGCAGTGATGGAACGGAATCTCGTCGCTCGGCCACAGAGCCATGTGTCCTCGCTGAATCACAAGTGCCCTTCTCTTGGGAAGATCCAAACCCCCATCGGAATAATCGTCGCCACGCTTGACTGGGGATGGGATGCCACGCTCTGCAATTCTTCTGTGCTTTTTTGAGGGAGACGATGCCCTTCAGTCTCCGCACAACTGCTGGCCAAGGTTGCCGGGTGTCGCTGCCTCGGCCGGCCTGCCTCACTCTGGCAAGCTTTCCGAACACAGCGTGCTAGGAACAGATGTTGCAACTCTTGGTTAATCCTAAGTGGCAGGTCTGTCAAGGGCAGAGTTATGCCCAAGGGCTTCCAGGGTTTTAGCTCATTCTCCAGACAGGAGGATGGAGGGGGGCGAAACCACCCAGCCGGATCCTAGGCATCCCCAGCATCCTTTTTTTGCTCAAGTGGGGGAGATGTTCCCAGAAAACCAAAGATCCATTGCTCCAAGGAGCTGTCCACGAATATGCCTTGAGCTTCAAGAACTGGGCCAAAGCTCTTTAAGAGGAGGCCTTTTGGAAAGCTAGGCGGATGCAATTAAATGGCCCAAACGGGTGCCCAATCTTGGCATCCCCGGCCACGTTTTCAGCATTACAGATGCCGCCGATGAAGCTTGCCCTTCCTCCCACTCAGTTGATAAAAGATCCCTTGCTCAAGAGCGCAGATCAAGGAAAAGAAGATTTTAGGGTTTTATTTAGCCTGTAAACAGTACAAAGATCCTGCTTGCCCATTTGGGGAGGGAGGGAGGGGAGGGAAAAAGCATATGGAAGAATAAGGAAAGATTTCCCCTCAAGCTTTGGAACACTAAAGGTGCCCACAACCCCTTTCAAAAAATAAAATCAAATGCGTGCGTTTTTAAAAAAATATTCATCTCAACATGACCGATGAAAATTCAGCTTCAAAAAATAAGAGGTTAAAGGCCATGTTTCAAAAATCAAATTGCCTCCTCCATCCTTCTGCAAAAATTTCAGGCTGGAACATAAGAGATTAACGACACACGCAAAAAAAAAAATCCCACTAGAACACCCTTAAAATCCAATTTCAATAGCTAAGAATGAAAGATTAATATACAGCAATATCCCCCAGCAATTGAAAAAGAGAGATTTGAGAGCGACCTTCACACTTTCTACATCAATCCTGTGTGCAAAGGAGATCTCGAAATCCTTGCCTTTGTCTCCTGAGGAGGAATCTCAGGGCGCTTCCAGACAACACTAAATCATGGGTTTTAAATAAGGACAAGAAATCCCAGGACTTCAGAAGAGGTCTACATACAGACCTGTTGGTCCCAAGATTTCTGCCCCCATTGTCCAGACTTGATGCTTTGTTGTGAGATTTAGAGGTTCCCAAGATGGCCGCTGTGGGACTTCCACTGAAAACCTCAAGATTCGGATATGCAGAGATTCGGATATGCGAATCACTACAAAAGTTCTGTTTGTCCTGCCCAGAGAAACTGTGCTCTCCAGACATTTCATGAAGTATCTGCCACACAAACAAAGTTTACGGGGTAGGACCACTTCTGCCCAAGTCAGCACTGCACCATCAAACAGGAACACACACTTTCAAGCCAGGAACAGAACTTTGTCATTATTGACATTTTTTAGAGCCTTTTCAGAGTGAGAATGCTGTTGAATTTTTTTAGGGTGACCTTCCTTCCTTCCTTCCTTCCTTCCTTCCTTCCTTCCTTCCTTCCTTCCATCCATCCTCCTCCTCTTTAATGTTTCTTACTACTTCATCACACTAAAGAAAAAATTCACTTAATTCCGGGGTTTGTAGTTTAGTGAGGCTGTTAAAGGCTCCTCTGTAAACTACAAACTCCAGAATTCTGCAGGAGGCAGAAACAGGATTTTAAGTGGGGTTTTTTCTCTAGTGTGATGATGCCCAAATTATTAGGCTACAACTCAGCTGCAGAGAGTAGTCAGCATAAGAAAACACTACAATGCCTTAGCATTTGATACCTTTGGTGCTTTTCCTACCCACCTATAAACTTCCCCAGCCTTCAATGCCTGAAGCTACCCTCGAAGGTCCTTTCTTGTTTGAAACAAACATGCATGGCAACCCTTTTGAGCAAAAAGCATCCTACAACTATCTTGATTCTCTCAAATGCCTTGACGCTCCATCTCTTTCCTCCCACCTCCTTGTCTCTTCCTTTTTTATCCTCTCTCTCCCCCGCAGCTCAGGGCTAAGTGTCTTTTTCTCCCCTCCTCTCAATCTTTCTCTCTCTTATCCTCTTTCTCCTTGTTCTCCCACAACTACTGCTTACACTAATCTTCTTGTTCATTCTTTTGCCCCTCTCTTTCTCTGCCATCTTTCTCCTCTCCTCCAGCATCACCTGATTAAATGTCCCATCCACCCACCATCCTCTTTCTCCTCCCTAAATGTCTTCTCCCCTCCACCCTTTTCTTTCTTTCTGTCTTTTTCTCTTCAAAACCCAGTCTCCTACTTGCACTTCTCTTCTTCTGCAATCCTCTTTCTCTTATGTCTTTGTTGTCTTTCTCCCCTTATTTCTGCTAGCTATATTTGTCTTCTTTCGTCTTCTTTTTCCATCTACTGGCGTATATACCTTACGTAGCCCAGGTTTGCATTTTGTTTATGGCTCTTTCTTTTCTTCCTCTGTTGTCCCTCTTTCCCCTTTCTTTCATTCTTCTCTTGCTTTCCATTCTATATCTCTTCCTTCCTTCCTTCCTTCCTTCCTTTCTCTTCCCTTACTCTTTCTTTCTTTCTTTCTTTCTTTCTTTCTTTCTTTCTTTCTTTCACCTCTTGCTTTTCTTCCTTCCCTTTTTCATTCATTTCCCCTTCCCTTTCTCTTTCTTTTTCTTTCTTTCCCCCTTTTCCCTCTTTTCTTTCTCCTGCATCCTTTTTTCTTTCCCCTTACCTCCTTCTTTCTTCCCCTTCTTTTTTCTCTTTCTCCTGCTTTCCTCCCTCCCTCCTTTCCCCTCATACTCATGTCACCCAGCAGCAGCCAATCCACTTTACTCCCTTTCCCAGTCCCGTGATACAGGGCCACTTCACCCAGCYGCAGCCAATCCACTTTACTCCCTTTCTATAAACCACTCCATTATTTTAAGTTGGACCATGAAGGGTCTGTGTGCCAAATGTGGTCCTGATCCATCAAGCCATGGAGGAGCCTTTGGGGGTGCCAGTCAACCAACCAACAAATATACATACATAGTTCGACTCTGATCCTCTTTTGTCTTATTCTGTCCCCATCGCTTTCCTCTCCTTTCCTCCATCTCTTTTTCTGGAAGTTGCTGGTCTACTGCAGAATAGCCACTCTGTCTCCAGCAGAAATAGCTCCTTCTTGGCAGATGCTGCAGGTGAGCCGCGAAGATCCCTGCTGGCTGCCAAGTTGCCGAAGTCTATTGGATCACGGGTGTCAGTGCCGTTAAGAGGTTCAGCGGCCGCCGGGAGGTGTCACACCTCCGCCAAAGGCTGAGGGCAAGCAAAGGCATTAGTGGCACCAGGCCATCATTGCCTGGCTTCCTGCCCCTCCGTGGGTGCTCTTGAGATGAAACCCTTCAAGATGAGCCACTCTCAAAGGGAGGTGTGAGTGGTCCCTTTAACAGGCCACTTGTGGTCTTCTCGATCGTGCTGCACTACAAGTCTCATGGGCTTCTGAATCTTACTGGACTACAATTCTCGTCTCCCTTTGCATGACAAAACAACAGCCAGCATCTAGACCAGGCATGGGCTAACTTGGTCCCTCCAAGTGTTTTGGACTTCAATTCCCACAATTCCTGACAGCCTCGGGCCCTTTCCTTTTCCCCCTCAGCCGTTTAAGAGGCTGAGAGGGAAAAGGAAGGGGCCTGAAGCTGTCAGGAATTGTGGGAGTTGAAGTCCAAAATACCTGAAGAGCCCAAGTTTGCCCATACCTGGTCTAGACAATGATAAGTTCTTCCACTGTTGAATCTCCATACCTAACATTTCTGCAAGCAAGATTCAGCCATCCATGGCTTTGAAATCTCCCAAAAGCAACCCTTGATTTTGCCATTTTCTATTATGCCCTGGCACATAATGTCACATCGATCACATCTACACCAAGTTTGAAACTGCATTATTATTATTATTATTATTATTATTATTATTATTATTATTATTATTATGGTCAGTACAGATTCAAATAATGCGGGGTTTTTTTTGTCGTGTCAGGAGCGACTTGAGAAACTGCAAGTCGCTTCTGGTGTGAGACAATTGGCCGTCTGCAAGGACGTTGCCCAGGGGATGCCAGGATGATTTGATGTTTTTATCATCCTTGTGGGAGGCTTCTCTCATGTCCCCATGAGGAGCTGGAGCTGATAGAGGGAGCTCATCCGCCTCTCCCTGGATTCGAACCTGCGACCTGTCGGTCTTTAGTCCTGCTGGCACAGGGGTTTAACCCACTGCGCCACCGGGGGCTCCTCATATAGGAGTAATATTGCAGGTTGTGCTCAGAACCGACAGGTCGGAGATTTGAATCCAAGGAGAGGGCGGATGAGCTCCCTCTGTCAGCTCCAGCTCCCCATGTGGGGACATGAGAGAAGCCTCCCACAAGATGGTAAAACATCAAAACATCAGAGCGTCCCCTGGGCAACGTCCTTGCAGATGGCCAATTCTCTCACACCAGAAGCGACTTGCAGTTTCTTAAGTCGCTCCTGGAATGGAAAAAAAAAACTACACTGAATGGCATTATATGAATCTACCCCAACTGTATACGGCAGATTCAAACTCAGCATCCATAGGTTTTTAATATCCATGGGGGTCCTGAAACCAATGGACCCCCATGGCCCTCTGCAACTATAGAGTTGCAATGATAATAGAGTGACGTTATTTCTTTTTAATTTCTAAACTCAATGCAATGCAACTCTACCTCTGTAATTCTTTATTGGATTGTCTCAAGCCTCTTCTTCAATTGGTTGAAATTGAGGATGTTAACTGAGAAAAATATATGATTTCCATTAGCTTTTACATTGGAGATGCAGATAAATGAAGCTTATGCTAGAAAAGACATTTCTAGCATAAGATCCCTTTACTAGCCTAAGATGGGCTGGGCTTTAGCACAGCAGGTTAACCGCCAACTGCAGTAAATCTTGCCAATCAAAAGGTTGGCAGTTCAAAGCCCGGGTCAGGGTGAGCTCCTGACCTTTAGCCCAGCTTCTGCCTACCTAGCAGTTCAAAAGCAAACGTGAGTAGATAAATAGGCACTGTTTTAAAGCAGGAAGGTATTTAAGGCACCTATAAGGAAAAGCTAGAAAAATGCCAGCGATTCGATCAAGGAGGAAGTTCACAAACAAAGCTCTTCGGCAGGGAAGATGAAGCGTCAGCACACTTCCATGGCCGGAACTGAGCACAAGCCTCCAAGATACCGAAGATGGGAAAGCCTATATATACCTCTCTCTATGTAGAATTGTCTGTCTTGTCAGTGTATAAAGACATTTAATGTTTACCGTATATGTGTTCTGTGATCTGCTTTGTGTTGCCTTCAGTGTGAGAAAGACAGAATATAAATACTGTAAATAAATAATTTTTTCTCAGTTAGTCTCAAAGGTGCAACAGGATTCCTTTGTACAGCCAGCCTTTGACATTTGTAGGTTTAACTTTTGTGGATTTGATGATTCAAAAACGTGTTTAATGTGTAAGTTGTAGTTTCGCAAGGTCTTAAGG